ATTTGGCTTGACCTGCGTGGGAAATGCATTTGCAAACCCTAAAATCCCTCGCAGAGCCGTAACGGCCAAGGCAGGGCTGGCTCCACCCCAAACGCCGGCAGCGGGCTGGGCCCGTCGGGTGGGGCGTGCGTCAGACAGAGGGACCGCATTTCTTTCCATCTCCTGCTGTTGGCAGGAAGAGCTTGAACGGGGTTTTCTGGCAAACCCAGTTGTATTCCCCAGTACAGGTTTCGTCCTCCAGCGCCTCATCTTTCAGCGTCCAGCACATTTCACCCGTCTCCCCCGGGCTGTGTAAGCTGCAGAGAATCATAGAATCATACAATCATCTAGGTTGGAAAAGACCTTTAAGATCATCAAGTCCAACTGTTCCTCTAACCCTGCCATCCCACCACTAAACCACATCTTTTTCCACCAGGCAGCATTCCAGCCACTCTTCCCCAAGCCTGTAATGGTGCATGGGGTTGTTGTGAGCAAACAATTTGCTTGCCCGAGAGGAGCAACCTCTTCCAGGCTTCTTGCAGAAGAGGGGAGGTAGGGGAAGGGTTCTCCTGCCCTTTCTCTGCACCATCGCATGGTGCAAGAACCATGGGGGGGTTAGCCCAGTGTCCTGGTTTCGGCTGGGATAGAATTAATTTTCTTCACAGTAGCTAGCAGAGTGCTGTGGTTTGGATTTCGTGCCAGAAGAATCTTGATAACACACTGATGCTTTTAGTTGTTGCCAAGTTGTGCTGAGACTACTCAAGGACTTTTTGAGCTTCTGCTCGGCCAGGTGCATGAGAAGCTGGGAGGGGGCACAGCCAGGAGAGCTGCCCCCAGCTGACCAAAGAGCTATTCCAGCCCATATGGTGTCATGCTCTGGGGCAGTTGGTTGATCGGTCGGCGGCTGGGGGAGAGTGATCACGGCTCAGGACGGGCTGGGCATCAGTCAGAGGGTGGTGAGCAATTGTGTTGTGCATCATGCGTTTTGTATATGCTCTTACCAGCCTCATTATTACCATTATAATTATTTTCTCTTATTAAACTGTCCCAGTCTCAGCCCATGGCTCTAACCTTTTTTTTTTTCTTCCCGATTCTCTCCCCCATCCCACTGAGGGGGAGGGGAGCGAGCGAGCGGCTGCGTGGTGCTGAGTTGCCAGCCGGGTTAAACCACGACACCCAGATTTGAGCGCAGGTTGCTGGGCTCACGAGAAGATCCGCAAGGAGCATGTGCAGGCCCTTAAAAGCCACGTTGGTGGCGTGGGGGTGGTGGGAGGTGTTGGGTTCCCCTGTTCCATAAACCCAACTCTTGGGCTGCAAAGCTTTGGCAAGACCATGGCACGGGCAGTGAAATGCTGGAGGGATGGGTCGGGGCATGGACCGGGGCTGAAACGGGGCAGAGCCGCTGCTAACGCTCACGGATTGTGGCTCCGCTCGTGTTTCCCTGGTGACAGGAGTGTTGTCCACCCACCTCTGCTTCTTTTCGGATGACGTGTGTTCAATCCACACCCGCTCCATGCCTCCGCCTGTGTTCTTCTTGATGTACTCCTGGGAAACGGAGGTGACCGGTTGCTTCCCAAGTCTCTCTCGGGGAGAGTTTTGTGGTGTGCAAAGCCACAGAGGAAACCTGCCTCGCTTCATCCCCAAATAGATGGGACGTGAATGCCCCCCGTGCTTTGAACACCACCACACGTGGTCCCTAGAGGCAACTTTGGGGTGAAAAGAGCTTAATTCAGAGCCCCAGACACTGATGTCTCCATCTCAGCTCTGCATCCCTCCTCTCCCCACCACGTCGCGGGTGGGTTGGGGGGACACGGAGGGGCTTTAGGTGACGATTCAGCCCCTTTTCCTCCCCCCGTCTCTTCTTAGGAGACATCAGAGCAGGAGATGGTTGCACCCCAATCACTCCTGCTGCCAGGCACTTTTTCCTTCCCTGCCCACCTAAAAAATAAAAAGACTTTCGGGTCCTTTCCAAGCCTTCTCATCCATATTTACCTTTCCTTCCGTGTCCTGGAACGTCATCAGCTGAGCCTCCTGATTTTTGCAGTCTTTCTTGCCTTGGGTCCAGTTCCCCTTTTCCTTGGACAGCCGGTAGCATCTGTCCCCGTGGAGTTGCCAGTCCTGGGGGCAGAGCTCGCAGCCAGGACAGGCTGAAGAGGAGGAAGAGCCATGAGCCCCCCCGTCCTGCTTTCCCTTGGGACAGAGTTAATTTTCTCCCCAGGAGCTGGTTTAGTGCTGGGGTTTGGATTTAGGATGAGAACATTGGGAACTCATCGATGGGTCAGTTGTTGCTGGGTAGTGCTTAGACCGGTCAAGGACTTCTCAGCTCCACCAGGGGCACAAGGAGTTGGGGGGGGCACGGCCAGGACAGCTGACCCAGATTGACCAAAGGGGTCTTCCAGCCCATATGATGTCAAGGAAGGGGACGGGACATGTTGGGAGCGATGGCATTTGTCTTCCCAAGTCACTGTTAGGCGTGATGGAGCCTGGCTGCCCTGGAGATGGCTCAACGCCCGCCTCCCCGTGGGAAGTAGCGAATGAATTCCTCGTTTGGCTTTGCTTGCCCACGTGGCCTTTGCTCACCCCACGCATTTTCTCACTTTTACCCTTCCAATTCCCCCCCCCCCCCATCCCATTGCAGGGGCAGCGAGTGAGCAGCTGGCTGGGGCTGAGCTGCTTCCCCAACCACCAGCCGAAGGGCACCAAGGGCTTCCCCACCCCCAGCTCTTTCCCACATCGTTGTGGTTTTTTCCCACTCAGCCACTGGTGACGAGGACTGCGGTAGGGTAACCGCAAGGACACGAATGGCTCTTTGGGGTGGAGGAAGGATGGTGAGGAACCTCCTCCCTGGGCTTGACCCTGCTCCTCCATGGTAGAGGGGTCAGGAAAAATGAACGTCTTCCTTGCAATGCTCCTCTTTGCCGAATAACCCTTGGCAGACTCTCACACCCCCAAGGGCATCCTTGCAGTTGGGTGGGAGGGAAGCCCCATCAAAGGTCCCACCTGAGCATCTCCCAGCAGAGCCGGGTGGGATCGGGGTTACCTGCAGGGCTCTCGCACTGGGACTTGCACAAATACTGCATCAGGGCTGAAATCATGGATTGCTCCGTGTGGTTCCTTCCCTGGAGCTCGCTGCCTTGATGGGGAGCGCTTGGCATCGCTGGGTGCAGGAAGCCCTGAAAAACTTGGAGCAATGACCTAGGGTGAGAAGCTGGGGCCATTTGGAGAGAAAACCCACAGAAACCAGGTAGGGTTTGGGTTGGATTTTGTCCAGCCCTCTGTGGTTGTGCCTGGTTAATTAAGCCAGCCTAGAAAACACCTTTTAGCCTCCACCCATTGCTTAAAAGCCCTGGGCGTAGGCCAGGTTTAGTTCAGAGGAGGTTTACTCCTGGTGGGTGATGCACCTCATCCCATCTCCATGGGGCAACCTCGTCCCTTCCGAAGGCTGAAATGCTAAAACCCAATTTCCCCTCCAGCTTTTGAGATGTAGGTAGGAGCTGGTTACTCACCCTGCACGCTCAGCACCACCACCACCACCAGCAGGACAAGGTGCCCCAGCCCGCTGGCTTTGAGGAGGACCCCATGCCATGGTGGGCACAAGGCAGGAGCTGAAAGAGGCCACATGTACACAATTTTCACATGAAAAAGCTGGGTTTTTTTTAGAGGAAAGCCCAGCCGGCAAGTTTGAGCAGAAGTTTACAGCTGCTTGGCTTCCTCCAAAAAAAACCAAAACACCACTGACGTGGTCTGGAGGTCGGATGTAGAAGTGAGGGCATCACCGAAGGGTGGCTTTCCAGGTGGGGGAGGGGCTGTAGGTACCCTCAAGAAGCGGCCTCCAACGATGGAGCTTAGCAGACCTGAAACCTTCTGAACCGGGCTTAATTTAGAGCCGGCGAAACCCATGCTCGTGGGTTTGGTGGGACATGGGCCTCTCCAGACCTCCTCCACCAGGAGCCCAGGCATGGTCTCAGCAGCTTTGCTTCCCATCCTGGTGTGTTGGCTCCCATTGGGCTTCTCGGGACCCATTTTTGCCACCGAGCGAAGGGTCTCAGAGACAAAACCGTTCATCCACCAGGTGGTCGGTGGCTTCCCTCTGCCCCCATCCCTTCCTTCTTTTTTTTCCCCTCCACACCAGCCGGGATCCAACCTCAGAGAACATCTAATCCACGTTCTCCATCTGTTTTGGGAACCTCAACACGAGCATGGAGAAGCAAGCAAACCCAAAAGTCTTCCCAACGCCAGCAAAGCTTGAAATCAGTGTTTTCCCCCCCTAAAAAAAAAATTCCATGCTTACCGTGACACTTCTCGGCAGGGGAAAAACCACCCCCAGGGCGCCTTAAATCAGCGTAAACAATTTCCCCGGCCATGAGCGGCTCAGGGGGCTGCGAGAGCGGCCCAAGAGCGAAGCCGTTCTCGGGCAACCTCCCGTCTTATGACCAAGCCGCTCGTGCCTGTGTCCGGCCCCAGGAAATGGCATTGCCTGGGCCTTTGATCTTTTTTTTTTTTTTTTAAATTTAGCTGTTCTGCGGCCTTCCTGTGTAAATCAAGGCTGGTGAGGGCGTTGGGGTCCTCTGGCCGGGGGCAGTGGCGCATCTGGGGGCGTAGAAGCACCTGCAGGGTTAACGCTTGCGCCAGGCAGCCAGGGCGAAGCACGGAGCTGACGGGGAAAAAATCATGAAAAAGCCTTTAAATAAGGTTCTTCAGGGCCAGGCTGAGCACACCAGGGGGCTTTGGTGTTTCCTCCCCGGAACGCTGGCAGCAAATGACTTGGAATCGCTTTGGGTCTGCGCGGGTTTGGACGCGGTGGTTGGGTTGTCCCGCGGCCGGGGGAGCCGATGGGCCCCATGGGGGGGAGCGCGGGGGCGACCGGCGCTGGCACTGGAAGAGGCAGAGAAGCTGCTTTGCCTTCCTGCTGCCCGCAGGCGGCCAG